TACATGTAATATTCAGCCACCAAATTACTGTAATTTAAAAGAAAACATTCACAGCAACAAAAGTTTGACATGAATAAGTCATCTATATTTGCACACCATAATTAAGAACCTACTGGCATCAGCGTAGACGTATTCAACTTAGCAATCGGAGGATTCTTTCAACAAATGGCAAGGAACACTTTGTGATATTGACATTCTTCTTAAAAGGGTTGCAAGATAGTGAACCAGGTAATTGAATGTCTTGTTACTTTTGCGTCTATGTTTTATTCAGAATTTGAATTCCAGGTAGCCTTCATGTCGGATAACCATTTTTCGAACAATTTCGTCAGATCCAATTAAAGGAATCTATCTCTGGTTAGATGATATCTGATTTGCAAAGTTTCAGGAAACTTTATTTCCTTAGATAGTTGCCTATTTATTTTGAAACTGCTTGATATTGAAGGTGGCACAGGTATTCAGTGTTTGACAACGCTTTTACCAGTAACACCTTCTAATATAACTCGTACCCACCAAGAGAAATCAAAAGACAGAACCGAGGAGATCGGAAGTTGTATTTGACGATTGCCGATATATAGGAATTTTCTGATCTAGTCTGGCTAGCGATTGCAGTAGATGTTGAGCACGGCGTTCCCACACATGATCTGGTGCGGATGCATGACCGAGCGCCTTCAGCTAGGTGAGTCTACTAAAACTAATCTGGTCAGCATCCAATGTCGAAAACTTACAGAGTTATTTATTTTGAGGATTTATTTACCGCTACAGTAGTTTGGCCCAACCGAACAAAATCCGATTCGTTATTTCTATATTAAGACCGAATACTAGTATTTCTGTCATTACAGCTTGGACGAGGAGACTGCGCAAGGAAAAGTCAGCCATTGAGCCACAGTGAAGACTCCAGGTCTTGCAAGCACTATTGTTTAACAACACTGAACTATCTCTGTTACTTCCAAATTTAGTTTGGAATTAGAATAACTGTGGAGGTTGGTTCAGACACATATACTTTTGTGCAGTCGAAATTCAAAACAAAGTAGTTGGGTAACGAATGGTTTTGGATAAAGTTATAAATTTAAATGTACAATATCATCTGAACAAATATTACCACACAGTTATTCAACCAATAATTGTTTAATAAACAGTCAAATCTGAATCACATTTAATAGATAAATAGATAAAAGATATAAAGTAACTATCAGTTTCAACGCATCAATGAATTAACCGATACGGGGATATTATTCAATTTTTTTCAGGTAAATTGCGTAAATTTTGTCGAAAATGCAGTATTTAACTCCACAAAACTATCAACAAGAAATTATCAAATTCATACCACTAATCATCTGTCGTAATGCTGAGTTTTTGAAGTTTTAGAAGTATGTTCCAGTTCAGAATAACAAATCGAAAATCTCAGTTAATTTAAACAGCACAATCAAAATAGAGAATGGATTAGTATGGCCACTGGTATAGTCGATATGTCGGTCAAAATAATATAAACGCATGTATTGCGAATCACAGAAATCAAATGGAAAAATAAAGAAAAAAAACGTCGCAATAAAAGTAAATGGTAGCCATCTGACCTAGAATAAAACAGCAAGAAGAACTTAATGTTTATAAGTAAAATATCAATTCATATTGCAAAACTATAAACATGGGAGAAATTTTCGTGCTTTTGAGTAACCTTTGTTCTACCGATAGAAATGCCAGGTCATCTTTGGGGTACAAATCGTCTAGTTGCACCCAACCTGTCCATTTTATCTCTCACTTTCCATCAGACGTCCAGGTCTTCGTAATCCAACCAAATACCAGGAGAAAGAGAAAAGGAGTGAGTAGGCAGTCTTGTCTGATTCCGGCCCTCACTTAGAATACGTCTGTCAGCTGTCTTCTATGCACGACTTTAAACTGTACCCCGTCGTATGAATTACGGATGATGTTGACGATCTTCTCAGGCACATTGTAGTGTCAAAGAAGGTTCCATAATGTTCTCTTATCCACACTGTCAAACACCTTCTCGTGGTCAAGGAATTTGATGTAAAGTGACCAGTTCCATACAATTGATTGTTCAATGATGATCCTTAGTGTCGCGATGTGGTCTATGAACAATCAATCCTTACAGAATCCGATTTGTCAATCTCAAGGTTTGGCGTATACAGAGTCTTTCATCAGGTTCAGCAAGACTATGTTGAAAACTTCCTCTAGTACCGATAGTAGTTTTCACATTTGCTCAGATTACCCTTCTTTAGTATCTGGGTCTAATATTCTTCTTCCCAGCCTATCAGCATTTGCTCTTCCTCCCAAATCCTTCTGAATAGAATGTAGCGAACCTTAACAGTTACCTCTGTGTTCGACATCAGTACTTCGACTGATATGTTTTCTAGACCCGCCACTTTTCCGCTCTTTATTTGTCTAATGACCATGCTGATTTCTTCTAATGTTGGCTACGTAGAAACAACTGGAAGACCTGTAGGTGCTGCTTCAATACTCAATGGATCCACTGGAGCTGGCCTATTCAGGAGTTCTTCAAAATGTTCTACCCATCTCATCCTCTTTTCTTGAATCTCAGTGATTGTCTTGCCTTCTTTGTTCTTGACCGGTATCTCTGGTTTACTATATTTCCATGTCAGTTTCATCGTCGTGTCATATGTTTCATATTTCGTTCTCTTGAAGCCCTTTTCATTGTCTTTGCTAACTCTTCCACGTATTTCTGTTTGGCAGCTCTATTGCTCTTATTCACTTGCCCGTTTGCTTCTGTATATTCAGCCTCTACCCTGACTTCCTCTGTTCTTGTTCGGTTGTTGTTAACTGCTGTCTTCTTGTTCTTCCTTTCTTGAATCCAACCCAGAATTTCGATAGAAATGCTTCTTGCGGCCCAGCAATGCTCGGCACGTTGAAGTTAGTGCTTCTTTAATCCCCGAAATAACGCAATTAAGGCGAAATACAACTGAGTGAGCACGAAAAACTATAATGTATTTGGAATTCAAAACCAGACAGACATCATTAGTTTATACAAACACCAAAACTCCATAGTTGTTTCTTCCTCTTCCAACAGACCTTGTAAGGCTTGAAACCTATTGCTTATAGCTATCATGAATTCGTATTGTTTGTCAGTATCTTGAAGGACGGATGTATTGAACCTTTGTACAGCCGTTTTCTCAGCTGTTCACTGTTTCTCTAGCTTCAGTTTCATCTTGGCAACCCCAGTTGGTGGTGATCTAAAGCTACGTCAGCTCCCCTCCTTGTTCTCACATCTTCCATTGACATCCTGAATGTTTTACTGATGCAAATATAATCGATCTGCTCTCTGTAATGTGATCCTGTGATACCAATATAGCTTTCTGTATGTGTTTGTGCGGAATATAATGCTGCCCATAACCATTTTGCTGAATGTACAAGTTTGCAAATCTGTCACCATTCTCGTTTCTTTCTCCCAGTCAGTTCATGTCCTCCTATGATATCTTTATGTTCGGTGTTGTCCATCCCAACTTCGGAGTTGAGGTCTCTCATCAGGATGGTCAAGTTCTTTCCTGAGCACTTCACCATGATCGATTGCAGCCTCTCGTAAAACTGACCTATTTCATCTTGATCGCTATCATTGGTAGGCACATAACATTAGATAAAATTCATTTTGATCCCCTCCTTTTGAGTTTTGAAAGATGCTTCGGTGATTCTGAATCCATGAGATTCACATCCTATAAGCGCCTTACGTGCTTGTTTGGACAGCACCAGAGCAACTCCCTGAGTGTGCGAAGAATCTTCTTATTCGTGACCGGAGTACAGCATCATCTCTCCGGAATAATTCTTTTCTGTTCAGCTTGTGTTCAATTGGTTTCTCTGATTCCGAGCACCTCCAGGTTGTATCCCTCATTCGGTGGCTCTTACCGGTCTCCCACATTGTCGGTCATCAGACTTGTGAAGTCCGAAGAGTCTCAACTTTCCACACGAGGCGTCATGATTTTTCAGAAGGAGGATCTGTAAACTCCCAGGGTAAAGTTTAAGTGGTTTAAGTTGTTCATCCTGGTTAGTGTTTTTTTACAAGGTTATTTTCTACTGGATGAGGTTGCTGACCCTATGCGTAACCGTCTCCCTTTATTCAGGCTTGGGACCGGCAACAACCCTAGAAGAGCTATACACTCTATAAAACTTTGATAATAGGCGAAATAGTCAAGGGACAATATTCTATCCAAATAAAACGGAGAGGTCAATTCGAATTGCTCACAAACTGAGCAATAAACTATAAAATAATAACTATACAAGAAATGCATCTAATTACCTTTTATCAGTATTAACGTTCCAAAAACAAACAGGAAACGTGCTTTAATATCAATAACAAAGAATAGAAGTAACTAATTCATAAAGTCAGAACTGAAGTACATCAAAGATAAGACAATTATTAAGAAATTTAACGACATCATGCGGTTATTTGCGATTTGGAATTTGTAAGCAGTACGGTAGTAATAGCTGCAATCAACACCATGAAAGGAAACAAATATATGAAAATTACACAGATAGAAGTCATGAGTCAGTTGAAGCTAGACCACCACAGGAAACCTGGAAGCACTGAACGGCCGTTTCGTCCTAGTATGGAACGCCCCAGCATCGCGCACCCACGACCCCGCACCTCGCAGGGTTCGAACCCAGGGCCTAATGGTTTCGCGCACGAGCACCTAACCATTAGACCACTTATCCGCCTTCCAACGGTGTTAATGTCTAACTTCAACCAATCCACGAATTTGCGCAACCATATACCATTGTCTTCAGTGAACTGATATCTCACAAAAGACCTGGTTGAACTCCACTGTTAACGGCTTCCCACTAGAACTCCAGGAGTATCTCTTGAAGTCAGTCACTAGTAAGCATATGAAAATTAGTCATAATAAAAAAACAACAACATTGCGTAGGTGTTTCCTGCTTTAAATACTTAAGGAATAATTTGATTGGTTAATTTATTTTAAATTGAATGGATGTATAGACAAACTTATATATAAGTCACTTCAATTTAATGTAACCTTAATAATTATATCATATTTTATTATAAAATTTCTTAATATGTGATATTATTTATTATTTTAAAAAATGTTACGATTAACACAAAATCTATCTTTATTATGGTTGCTATGGATTTTATTTTATAATTATTATTGTCATGGCAACAATCACAAAAAATCTTTAATGAAAAATGAATATTTTCATAAATTAAATCATGATCTATATACTGAATCATTTAATTCAATGAATCATTTCTTTAATAAAAATGTATATACAAATTTAAAATTACCTAAAAATAAAACATCTTGTACAAATGATATACTTAATATTATATTAGGTATATATGAAAAGAAAAATTGGGCATTACAATGTTTGATTCATATAATTTTCTTTAATATTAACATTTAATTTTATTATATAGGGTTAGATGCTACAACACATCCTCCATCAGGAATTCTAGGTGGTGCTATACATTGGGTGGGAAGTTATGATATATGCCTTAAGTGTTTAGGATATCATTCAATTGAAAATGAAGAACCAAAATTTTATGGATCATATTGTACTATGGTATTTAATATGAATACTTCTATAGCAATTATTCCGGTAAAATTTAATAGTTTATTTTCGGATTTAATTGGATTCATTTTATAGGAATTAAGAATGTCAATTGGATTATGTATGCCTAATACTTGTACTAGTGAAGAAGTTAGAAGTATTATCAATACAAGTAAGATTATATAGTGTTATTTTTGTTTATGATATTAGCTGCATATTATCTCTTACTTAGATTGAATCAAAAAGAAAGTTTTTGTCATCGATTTGTTGGTGATGTTCAAAAAGACACATGGTATTACATAGCTATGTAAGTAGTTCATGTAATATGAATGTAAACCAAATTGACATTTTTTAAAAATTAAAATTTGCCAAACAATAGACATTTGTCACAGTAGTAAAAGATAATTTTACGAGTTATAAAAGTTGTAATGCTGTATCCTGTCTCACCCGTCGTATCTTCTGTAATACTGTTTATATTTGACAGTTAAGAATCACCATCATTTTCACAATGTAAAGTTAAAATATAGGATACTGGAGCAAATAAGAACATACTGACTCTCTAAAAATATTCCCGAAATATGTCATCAAGACAAGTCATCATTTAACTTGAATACATTCATTTAAATGGCGATTTTACACATACTTGATGATTTATTAATAACTATTACATATTTTAATAGTTGAGACTATGAGTCAATTGAAGCTAGATCACCATAGAAAACTTGGAAGCACTGGACGGTCGTCTCTTTTTATTGTGAGAGTCCTCAGCACTGCGCACCCACGATCTCACCTTACGAGTTTCGAACCCAGGACCTATCAATCTCACGAGCGAACGCTTAACCACAAAACCCCTTCTAATATTAATCAACATATGCTCAATAGTCAAATTGGACGACTGTTTCATCCATTGGTTCCAGATTTTCCATAATGATCTAGTTTCAATTGACTCATAATCTCATCTATTAAAATATTTTATTGTCAGTACAAAATATCCAGCGTCAATTTCATTGTCAACCAAAATGCAAAATTCTAAGCTCATCTTTTTTTTCAGTTTTTGTAAAAAATATTTTAAATCGTTTAGTGTATCCATAATTTTTGCATGTAACAAAAATCAATTAGATTAATCATAGAGGCTTATAAAACAAATTTTCGGGTGTAAATGAAAAAACTATTGTGATCAATAAAGTGTGTATTTTATTAAATCAGTATACACTTCATTGACCTTGGAAGTAAAAATGATGTGTCGATTGTGTTTTATAAGAGTTTTTATGTGTGGACACTACTTACCATATTTATATACCTTTGGTAACAAATCAAGTTGTTATCAGAATGGGTTTTGTGGAGATTTTTTCTTATAGAAATTTCACAAGTTGAAATCATGAGTCAATTGAAGCTAGACCACCATGGAAAACCTGGAAGCACTGAACGGCCGCTTCGTCTTAGTATTGGACTCCTCAGCAATGCGAATACACGAACCCGCCCCCCTACGGGATTCGAACCCAGGACCTACTGGCTTCGTGCGCGAGTACTTAACCATTAGACCACTGATCCGGCATCCAACAGTGCTAATGTCTAACTTCAACCAATCCACGAAGTTGCGCCACCGTACACCATTGTCTTCAGTGAGTTCCTATCGCACAACAGACCTGGTTGAACTCCACTGGTAACGACTTCCAGGTTTTCCATGGTGGTCTAGCTTCAACTGACCCATGATTTCAACTTGTGAATAAAGTTGTAGCCTTTAAATTAATGTTGTTCAATGTCTAAAGATTCAAATAATTCGCTACACTAAATCACAAAATAACGTCAGATAAAACTGAGTTATATATGTTTATAGTATGAAAAATATCCTCACATCAGGACTCAATATGTTTCATGGATTTCCCAACTGTTTGATAACATGTCTTAATATAATAAAAAATAATTATCTTAGTTTAACGCTGAATAATCTGCTTAAAACGTTTAAATATTTATGTTTTTTAAAGAGGAGGACTAGTAAGATAAATGATTTTTCTTGTTACTAAACATAAAGAATTTCGTTGTGGTCAGCAAAAATTACATTCTTTAGTGATACAGTGAATAGTTGCATTTAGTTTTGATGGAGATTCATTCACTGAGCTGCGCGGTTTAATTATGAAGCTTTGATTGTCTTTCTGAATATCATTATCAACACAAACTTCAGGTACAAGTGAGTTAATCGAAATTCTCTACATTTGAGTGATAGCTCATTCTGTTGACCTTGAGTTCAACTACTTATTATTGACCTTTACACTATCATTGTTTGGATATTGACTTCGACTTTATCCCTATTTAACCTGATTCTTGTTGCTACATTTGTCCATAATTTTTCTAAGTGGTTGATGAGTGAAGCTGTTTGGAATAGTCCTATGGTATAATCCACCAAATTAACTTCAACCAATCTTATCCAAATAAAAAAGAGAAATAACTAGTGAGGAAAAACTAAATATAATCTACGAAAAAACTGCTCCAACTGTGTGAAATACTGCATCAGGCTGAATGAACCCCCTCTTCATCTTGGTCCTCATCACACCAAATATCTGCTAGACTCCATGATTTATCTTCACTTATATTAACACACAACTGTGCATACACTGAAATTTTCAATAGGAGAATCAAAGAATTTTTAGAAAATTGTCATTCAGCTTGTGAATCAAGAACCAGAATAAAATCAACCAGCTTTATTGACAAGTTGGAAAGATTTGGGACAAATATAACAACAAGAATCAGGTTAAATAGGGATAAAGTCAAAGTAAACAGCCAAACAATGATAGTGTAAAGGTCAATAATAAGTGGTTGAACTCAAGGTCAACAGAATGAGCTTTCAGTCAAATATAGAGAAGTTCGATTAACTCACTTGTACCTGAAGTTTGTGGAGATAATGATATTCAGAAAGACAATCAAAGCTTCATGATTTAACTACCCAGCTTAGAGAATAAAATTTCACTAAAAATTATCGCTCTGAGGTACAAATTTACATCATTTCAATTTAAACAACAACAAGAAGTATTTTTATTTAGTGATGAGTTACAAAGAAGTACAGAACAACTGTTCGATATCTACTTATTTTCATTGATTGATTACCCTGTTAATTCCATTCTGCATTTATCAATCACTTTCAAAGGAAACAAATCACTGAAAAAAAAGTTATCACATTAAATTAGAGAAAATTAAAAACCATTTGTTTCTTGACAGTCGTATTGATTAAATATTTGGACTTAAACCTAATTAAGTCAGTAATGAACTACTAAGAAAATAGTCTTATGCAGTTATATGGTTATAACATGAATCACATGATGGCAAGTTTCAAATTAAGAAGAGCACAATGATTACTGAGTAATAGTGTGGCTGTTTTAAAAGTATCATGAATATAGTTGTGCGATTCTTGTGAAGATTCATTGAATTTGAAGATTGTTTACGTCAAAGATTAACACCAAAGGAATATATATTTCATTCTATTTTTTCACTAACTAATAGTGCGCACACATAATGCATTCAGGGATTAAACTCTGGACAGTGATGTTTGATAACGAACGAATTACACTTAGATTATCCAATGGTTTACATTTCATGCGTCAGTCGATTAACGCATGATAATCATTTAAAGTAATTGGTGAATAACTTTCTCCCTAATGATATAAGTGAATTGCTCCGTTTGTCATTTCTTCTTGAAAGTACATTAACCCATCTTTAAGTTGGTCATATATAAGTAAACAGTTGGTGTTTGGTTAAGACGTTTGTTGATAATTCACTGTTTATTAATACTATTGACCTAGTATAAGAAACAAACTGTTAGTTTGCAATAATACCAAATTTATTTTGACGAAACTTCTAGTTGATAATAATCATTTTAATGTATTCATTTCTATTAACGCTTTAGTATCTCTTACATTATTGTATAGCACTCCACACCGTTACATCTGTAACTATATCCATTTGAGCTTTCTCTTTTAATAGAATACTTGTAAGGATAAAGAATAACAGAAGAGTACTCTCACAAAAATATTGTACCGTTTACTCATATACTCAATGATGAAAAACATCTTGGTTTCACTTCTATGAGAATTTCTACTAAATAATGTTGCTTTAAGAATGAATATCGAACTTCTGTCCATGAAAAGTTTATTTAGGGATATCATATATATTACACCTGTTACTACTCGTGGAGGAGCATAGGCTGCTAACCAACATTCTCCATCCAACTCTGTCTTGGGTAATCCTATCCAGGTGTTTCCAGTTGCTATTCATCCTTCTGATGTCTGCTTCTGATTCTCGGCTAAGTTTGTTCATTGGTCTTCCTCTTTTATGTCTCCCTTAAGGATTCCAATTTAGCGCTTGACTCGTAATGCATTCTGATGATTTCCGAAATGTACATCCTATCGACTTCTAGTAACTTTTACTAATTTCCTCTTCAGCTCGAATCTGGTTCGTTCTCTTCCACAGTAGGTCAATGTTGATGATAATATGAACACTTTAAAATACAATTGAAACTTATGCTAAACTCTTGGATAATAGAGAATATCAAACCTCAAACTCTAGTCACATAGATATGAGTTATAAAAAAACTGTTATTCACTATGTAATTTAATTTGAGTACAGCAAATTAAACAATATATTCTGCTTATCTAAAACCAATTTTTTTCTTTTATAGATCAATATGTTCCGCGTTAACTATCCTTGTGATAATTGCCACAAGTATAGATATGTTTTTATATATTAAATGGTATCATATACAACATTTAAACAAGTATATTACTGGAATAAATCATATCTCTGAAAGAAACTCAATTGAAAATGTAAATCATATTGAAGAACAAACATATCGTTTATTAGAATCAGATGATATTATCCATAATGATCAAGAACTGGAAAGTGTTAGGATAATTGATGCGAAATACTTGACAACATTCAATGAATATAGAAAAAGTAAGTCTAATTATTATTACAAAGTTATACAAAATGTAGATTGAAAGATTTCAGTCGACAACTACTGTTACTATTGGATAAATGATTAGTGATGTGACGTGTAGTACAATTTAGGATATTGACATGATTCGATGTGTTAGAAATTTGAAAACTAGAATATAATGTGTAACTTAATGTCCGCTAGAATGTTTCAAATGAAGACACAGAATTATTGATTATGTTTACAGACTAATGATAGATTACTTTTATGACTAAGAATGAGAATTTATAATATTGTGCTAAACTGATTAAGTTATTTTACAATCGAAATATGGTTTATTAATGATAAGTCTCCAAATGTGATAAAGTTCTAGATTTGTTATTGTCAAAGATCTTAGATTATACAGAACGATCATGTTGGGTAAATCATATTAGAACCAACTGTAAAAAGAACGGATGGATACATTTAGAAGTATTAAAATAGTGTCACATTGAAAAAGCAAGGAAAGATGAGTGAACTAAAGACAAATGCTCATGTCATTGGTTAGTTACAATGAAATAAAAAAGAATAGTATCATGTAAGTCCAAATTGATCCTATTCATTTATAGACTCTAGTTTCTGATTACAACTATATTTTGGATCCATCTTGAAATTCCTCAGCTTTAGATATGGCTTATGCGATTCGAGAATGTGTTTATGGATTGATTTAATTTACTTCAAGCTAACCAGACGCAAGATATCTCTGTAAATCAGTACCAAATGGCTTGGCATATATAAGATATGTCCTAACTGATTTTGTTGATGATGATTCACTGTCACATTAGGAGACTGACAATCTCAACCATCTCAATACCCTACAACAAAACTCAGAACCACCTGAGTAATCATAGGTGCAGTGCTCTGATGATAGTGGTTTTACGATATTAACAAGTCACTAAGATCAATTTTCATTAACCAAGTTTCATAGGTGAAAGTAATACAAAGTGAAGGGATGTGTAGAGTGCTCGCCATTTAGTAGGTGAACAGATACACTGTCTATTCAATAGACAACCTAAGCTAGAAAGGCTGAATAACTTCTGAATAAATATCCCATGTCTTCGAATTTAAACAAATAATTATTTCATTTCCAACACACTGGCTTAATTTACAGTTATATACTTGAAGGAAATAATTAGGAACCTTTGTAATATAAATTTGAATGCACATCAGAGATTTCTTAGAAACTGTTTGGCCCTACTGATTCAAACGAGATTTAGCTGTTGCCCATTAACAGCACATTATGAATTAGTATTATCCTTAATGTTTTGCCTTCCGAAATCGTTAACTATTTATGTTGATCACTTCAGGGTCAGTCAGTCAGTAACAACGTATAACTTCGTACGTACGTACATCAGTTCGAGTTGCCATACCACATAAGCACAGAGATGCAGTTGTCGATTCAAATCCAATAGTGGTAGAGGTGGTAAGAGTATAAGCAGAAACCGGAAAAACTAAGGTTTGAAGATGTTATTCAAGGAGTATAATACAGTGAAATAAATTGGGAAGGAGAAAAAAGAGAGACAAAGAGAATTCAGAAGATTAGAATTTGGGAGAACACAAAAAGTTCATGCGCCTGCGTCATTGCAAACGATTTTGAACCATGTCATTCAGGGTCTCTAACCATCGGTTGCTATCATCTCGTGGATTCTAACCGTTTAGTCTACACCTACCAACATGGCTCAGTGCACTTGTAACTGACGTCATGGATTTGTGCCATGTTTTGGTCTAGCCGCCCTCTAGCTTTCTTCCAACCTACTACTATACCACTGAGCATTGCTCGTGGAGGCAGTCGGTGGTTGGGCATACGTAACACGTGTCCCAGCCATCTCAAATGATGAAGTTTCACTACTTCACCAACTGCTTTGCTATCCTTACCTAGTACCCGTTTTCTAAGAACTGCAATACTTACTCAATGATCCCAGGATATATGAGCAATGCTTCGAAGACACCTATGATCGAGTACTAGTAACCTACGAATGTCCTATACTCTTACCGGCCATGTTTCACAGAAATAAAGTAGGACGGAATGAACTGCTGCGCAGTAAACCCGTCCTTTGGTTCGTAGACGGATATCTCGCCTACGCCGTAAATGACGCAAGTTGGCAAAAGCTAGTCGAGCCTTCTGCATCCGTGCTGAGATGCCGTCATGCCAGACTTCGAAGAAAAGTGAAGCGGTCGACACGTTCAATTACTTCACTCCCTATCATTAGTTCGGGTGTCGATGCAACACAATCCTGAAGTAACATTTTGCATTCCGAGGGAGAGAATCGCATGCCGAACATGCTTGCATTGTTACTTAGAGTGGTCAGAAGACTCTGCATTTTGTCAGCGTCTTCATTTATATTAATAAATTCTAATAATGACAAATTGTATAAACTTTAACTTTGGAACTCTTATCATATAATTTTGTGTTTGCATCTGGATGACTACACATATATTTCATATCACTGACTTGGACTCATATAAAAAACTGAATATAGTACCGTCGGGGATAGAGATTTCAAGTGAAATCTCAATGTTCTAACTTTTAACGTATGATATGCCTGAGACTTCAGCTAGGAAGTCCTTATTTAATACTTACTCTCTAATTAGATATAATGGGATTCACCAGTTCTTTGGTTGACTTTTCCTTAGGTGTATTCTTTCAACGCAAAGTACCTCAGTTCATGTGCATCCAAAACCCTAATAAATTAACTGAAATTTGCTGCTGAAAATACTGTGTTGAGCGATCATTTGAGAACTTTGAAACTCTATTGTTAGCTGGTTACCCTTCATATATTTTGGTTTTCTATAAACATTCCTCGATAGAATTTCTTTAGCTATTACAAGGAAAAGGTTATTAAGTTTTTCCAATCACTATTACCCTTTTGGTCATTATCTGACTGAAAATTAAACTACTTATCGTCGTACTTAGTCATTGCACTGTTCATTTCAACAATCACTCAGAAGATATCTGTTTCCAGGAATTTAAATATTTAATTTTAGGTGGTTAATATTTGTGTTATACATGTTTAGACTAATAGACCATATAGTTGTAGCTAACTTAATTTTGTTTAATTCTTAGAATCACCAGTGTAAGCGATTTGGCTTTATACTGAACTGTTATGAATATTAAGTGGTTAAAGTCTACTTGTTAGAATCGAAAACGTAGATTTCACGCCAGTTGGTATTTATTGATAATGAATATATGTAATAACGGAGAATTCCACTAGTATGAATGATTGATTTTCATAATTTTAGTCCAATAACTAATATTAGTTGGACTACCAGTCGAAACTCGGAAGTACTAGACATCCGTTCCTTTCTCCTACGGGACTTTTCATCGGTTCTCATCTACAACCACGAATCCAGGAGCTAAACTTATGGCCTTCGATCATGCGCTCGAGCACTTAAACTTTAGACTACTGCAGAAACACCCAAATGTAACAATATCAGTCCACCATATTGAGTAACCATCATCCATTGCGTAATTCACATCTGACATGATTTTACCCTACTGGTCATGGCTTCCCACTAGAACTACAGGAGTTACATCTTGAAGCTAATAAGTGTTGACCTCCTGAATCTTACAAATATAAGGAGAGTTTATGATTTACAATATAAAAGTTCTATAATTTCCACCGATCCTCTTATACTGTAAATTGTTGGAATATTGATCAACTTACGTTGAAATTCCTTTTCATACTCTGTTAATAGTGTAAATTAATTGTAAAACCGACAATTACAGCATGTCTACCTCATTTTATAGTATTATTTATTATGGATTTATGTAAACATAATTCTAACCATAGTTTATATAAAGTGATTTAACGACAGGTTAAGTATATTTGATATATTACTATGTTATTGTATCAAATACTCATATTATAAAGTATTAAATGATTTCATTTTCATTGAAATGATCTAAATACCGGATGTTCTTTGTGTCAATGTGAATTAAGTTTTACTATTCATCATCTGATCAGTTTTGAACTAAACAGTAAAATTTTCAAATCATTTGATAACACTATTGAAATTTTGCATGGTTTTTATTAAACTAATTACAGAATTGTACTGTATATTCATTGTTAAGTAACGTTACTCTAAATATTTGTGTGGTAAGTGAAATACTTGACGACTTTGAAGGTAATTGTGATTACAAACAATTGAACTGTTTTCACAGATTGAAATCATGAGTCAGTTGAAGCTAGACCACCATTGAAAACCTGGAAGCACTGGACGGCCGTTTCATCCTAGTATGGAACTCCTCAGCAGTGCGCATCCACGAACCCGCACCACCAGGGGCTCGAACCCAGGACCTACTGGCTTCGCGCGCGAGCACTTAACCATTAGACCACTGAACTGACCATTGAACTGTTTGTTGTGTACTGAAGTCAGATAGATTAGAATTTCTGAACGTTTAAAGTAGATCTTGGTCACTCATATTGTTAAAAGTTATATTTTTTCGGTTTACTTCAATAGTTTTCTGGCATAAACACAATTTTAAAACAATTAGTCCCTTTGATAAATTTCGATAATGCAATGAGAAGATGTAGTTTATCAGAATTATGTGATATATTTGCGCAATACATTTCGAACAATCTGATCACACATATACTTGTTAAGAACATTTATATATGAAAAATTAAAAGGTCAATTAGACAGGTTAAGGGTAAGTCATAACAAAGGAAAAATATTAAAGTACACAAAAAGAAAATGTGATTACCTCTCTGGATAGTAAATCAGTATTACCAGGGTAGGTTAAGTGTAAGTACAAATTGTTTTTGAACACATAAAGGGGGTTTCAATTTCCGTATAGCCAAGGTTTCAATAAACCTTAGTATACGTACTTGAAGGCTTTTGTACAAGACAACAAATGCTGATTTGATATCAACCTTATGACCCGTCTCAATCAAATGTTTCGCAATGGATGATGATGTCTGTCTATCCTGTGATCTTATTTCACCATTGGAATAAACACAATTACCTGTTAGTGCTTAGA